TGAGATTTGTTCAGCTGAAGTGACTGGACCGTCTGTGTCTTTGCTCCTCAGGAATGCGGCCTCCTGCTGTCTTCTGAAGGCGAGGGTCGGGGCTGTTACCCGTTGGATGGCCACATCCTGTGCAAGAGCTGCAGCGCTCGCCGCATCCAGGACCTCTCTGCCAAAATCTCCACTGACTGCTAAACAAATCCTTCATTTTCAACCATTAAGCCTTTATTTGTAGAGACGTGATTTTTTTCCCCTGCCTGCTCTGGACCTTGGCTTAAACAAGTGGTCTGTAGCTCCCCCTGCTGGTCTCTTCCTGTATTTTCAATCACAGTTGTCCATTTTCCGTTTTTGCATTTATTTAAACCTGGGTTCTCTGGTGATATTTGTTTCTGATGTTTCATCAACATTTGTGGTACACAGCGGCCCTGCGTCTTTATTTCTGCTCAGTATTAATGTAACAGAAGCCTGACCTGCAGGCAGCTTGGGCTCCACTCTATAACTCCATGAACCTATACTGGTACTGGCCACAGGGCAGCTCACACACATCCATTAACCTATTATCAGAAATGTCAGCCTTAAAACAGGTAGTTGGTGGAAAAGGTGACATGAGTAATAGTCAGGATGATGACTTATCTAAATGCTGTACGTCTATAACAAGTGTGTGAAAAATAACACTTAACAACTGTGAGTGTACATAACAGAAAGATTTGGTTTAAAAGCATGTGGTGTGGTGAGTCTTTGCGGTGGTTAGGGTTAGCCTACTGTTAGCCTTCAAAGCACAAGACATATAGACACAAAGAATGTGTTGTGTGAACTTTACAGTTTAACAACAAATCCATTTTTTTCTTTTTTGCTGAACGCAAGAATGAAGTTGCTCAAACATATTTAAGCCTTCAAAGTTTGTTTTCTTTTTCGCCTTTGGTCTGGCTAAGCTCATTGATACAAAATCATGTTACTTTTGTATGTTTCTTATGTGTGTTTTGGTCAATACTTGACTGTTACTTTCGAAGACGCCGGTGCAATGAAGTCAAATGTTGTCTTCTGTCCTGAGGAACACAGGGTATCAGTCACTTTCCTCTTGTGTGAAGCTCAGGCCTCATGTGACAAGACTAAAAAGTAAAAACATAATTCAACATAACAACTCAAAAAAGTACATTTGTGACATTAAGAATGTTTTTTTTTTTAATTATTATTCTACACATGAGGGCAGAGTTTCACATTGTGATGCGTTGAAGCTCCTGTTTATGTGACAACTGTCATAAACACCTGTGTTTTTATTCCATCCTCTTGTTTTCATGTGTAACTTAAGGGCTAAAAACTAAAATAATCCTTACCTCAAGGATGTCATTCAGTCTTCTCAACCATCATCACATATAAAGGTAAATTCTGCTTTTATCTTGGCAGAACCTGATCACGTTACTAGGTTTGTTTAACTCTTTGTGTACGTTTTTGCTTGTGTCGTTCTTAATCATGTCAACTCATCCGGGTCACACCCAGACTCTGTCAAAAAGCTGTGAATTATTAAGCTGGTAGATCAGAAAGATCATGCTGCCGCAGTCCACCCGTTGGTTCAAACTGAAGTGAAGGATCAAAAGGTCAAGTTCTACCAAATGAAAAGGATTTTGAGGTAAAAACGGTTCTCTGCATGTGTGAACCCAACTGTGTTTTTGTTCTTTACACAGGTTTGTAGCCACATATTATTGATGATGAATATTAAAATATCTGCAAATTCATCTACGGTTTGTTTGTCTGTTGTTCTCCGACATTTCTGTGTTTTCTATGAGGCAGCTGTGGGTCTGGAGTTCAATCCCAGGCTCAAATCATCCACATATCCCTCTCGCCCACAAATCCAAAGGCTTTTTTTTTATTTAGAAAATGAATGTTCTTGCTAACATGTTTACCTCTAAATTCAGGAATAAGTTAACCAAAAACTGAAAGTATATTTGCTGTCAGATTTGCTGCTTGCAAATGTATAATTTTCCTAATAATCCTCTCAGTTGCCAAACTCCACGTCAATGTCACAAGATTTAATAATACAACTTAAAGACACATCTATAAAATATACAAATCAGATGAGTGAAGAAATGTGTTCTTTAAATTAGAAACTTTATTTTTCATTGGATGGTCTTGCCAGTTTAAAAACATGCATTACTATGTTTGTGACATCATCCAGAAACACTTCAGCATCAATTACAACCACAGTAAGATCCCACATTTTCCTGTTCATACAAAACGAACAAGGACGTCGCCAGCACGTTTTTCATTAACACGACGTGAATGTCTTCCAGAAAAAGTTACGACAGCCGGTTTTTCGCTCCCTTTGCGATTGAGTGGGATGTCGTTGCATCATCATCTTCTTCTCCCCGGCTCCTGTCTTCTCCTCATCCTCTTCATCCTCCTCCAGCTTGACCAGCATCTTCTCCACAACTCTCTCTGCCAGCGGCTTGGTCATTAACCTCAACAAGTGATCCTGTAGGATGAAAAAGTTTGATAATGATGAGAAAGAAAGTGTAATACTTCTCTCAGTTTGTTGAACCTCTTAAAGTTGAGGCGTATCTGTGACTTACCTCGTCGTTCATAAGCTCTGCCCTTATTGCTTCTGTCTCCATGTGTCTCTGTGGAACACAGCTGACATGGAGTAGAAGCACAGACGGAAAGAGAACCACCAGAAGAACATGCATCTGAGAGGGAAGCATCTTGAGATTCAAGCCCAAAAAATGTCTTCCTGATATAATTTTTTTTTTTACAAAAATTCCTCTATTAGTCCAAAATGTCAATCCTGTCTGAGGAAGGTGTTTCCTGGGTTGAAGGTCGTCAGGAGTTTTGTGCTAAAGTAAAGATCTGATAAAAAGTGTCTTCATCACTTTATTTTATTCTCACACCAAATTAGGGGTGTGATTGGTGGAGGAGGAGAAGAGCTGTGATTGGACAGGATCATTTATTGTAAGGATTACTATTATAGTCATTTTCTGTCGACTCTGGTTATCTGTGCAGATGTGCCGCACCACAGGACTTCATGTCTTCTCTGTTGGACGGTGTGACTCAAATGTTAATGAGGCTGCCTGGACAGAGGCATCCAGTGCAGCAGCTCACTCTGCTGTCACTTTGAACCAGTGGAAATAACAAGCACAATAGTTTACAATTCAAAATCCACTCATACAACTTCTGGGAGCCCCAAATGGTCAAAAGTTCAGTGTGAGGTGTCACAAAACAGGGAGAACCCTTATGGAAAAATGTCATAATATTATTTGAATATATACAATTTTAGCTTGAGCTGTAAACTATTAGAATGTAAATGTTTTTGATAAAAAGAAAAAAAAATCTAACGTATGTTCAAGATTAGAATATTAGAGAATTAGAGTATATTATATTTATTATGATAATTAAAAATGGATTGAGATGGAATTAGTTTAGAATAGAATAAACTGCATAGGGGCATTTCAGTTAACATTATCCAATACAAAGAATGGAACTGATGTGACGTGGCTTTTGCCCCAGTTGGGGTTTTGCATACAAGCATTCTTAAAATTAATACATTAAAATATCAAACAATATGAAACAAAGCAACACATTTACCATGGAATAATAATACAAAAATACAAAGTAAAAATGTGGATTAATAACAAGAAGTTAGCCCGGGAGTATGACCATAGTAAGATAAATATCCAAATAAAACGTAAAACAAGTGTCTTTATACTTTTTCTCATTGAACTGGTAACCTCTTTCTCACTTGTACCTTTAAACAGTGTTTAGTTTTTTAAAGAATTAGAAAATGAATGCATTTTGATTCACAATGGTTAAAATTGGGTCAATAAACTGTTTCCGGATTTCCTCTTCCTGATGAACTTTGACTCCATTAAAACTACTATCATGTTAGTGTTTTCCTGCTTTAAATAGACCCTGACCTTTTCTGCACAAATGCTTCCTATGTCTTCTCCACAGGACGCTCACTCATAAATCTGTTGACTGTGTTTCTCTGTGGTGCAGTGAGGAAACAAGAGGATGTGTTGACAGGAGGAATCCAGCTGTGGTTAGGACGAGGAGGAGGAGAGGGAGGAAGAGAATCCCAGCTGTGATGATCACACAGATCACACACACATCTACATGATGGATAATTGTGTCAACAGCTTGTCAGGGCTTATTAAAGATCTTCACCTGTGGTTAATTATAGCTTGATGATTCATCCTTCATTTTATGTATCACTGCCAAATGTTTTGTTTTGTCTTTAAACTTTCTTCTGTATTTAATTTTAGTAAATGCCACTATCCATTATTAACCATGGTTCTGGGTAAAAAAGAAGAAGTAAAGGAGACTTGTGAATTATTAACGTTAATATTAAACAATTACATCCGCGCTTATTAATCTAAAAATACTTTAGAAGAGTAGACTACACACTGAAAAATAGAACAGATTTGAATGTAAGTTCCATCATTTGTGTCATTTACGACTCAAAACAAGTATGGATTTAATAAAGATAATTTGTTACAACGTTGTCAATAGTATATGAAGGGAAAATTATAGTAAGGTGCAAATTATCTTTATAGTAAGCATTACTGACAAGATATGCTGTAAAATGCAACACGAAAACATAAAATCACACTGCTGTACTATCCTATGACCAGTAAGTGTCACTGTGATGTCGCCTTTTGTAGTTCCCTAAACCTTAATAATTTCAATTAAACTAATTTGTAACCATTGATCCTGCTAGATGATTTAAATGATTCGCGTGACATGATTCAGTTGTTTGTGGGGATAATGTTATTGCTATATGAGTAAATATGATTATACTTCATGCCGAAGAACTTGGTAAGTACCTTTAAAACATTTAAATTTTCCTGTCCACTTCAACAACACGTGTAAGCAAAAAAAATAAATAAAAAAATAAAATCACTCTGACGGCACTATATGCTATATACTATATGAGATATAATAAAACAAAACGTGTGCGTTTCATGTTACATAATCATATCCATGTAAAGCCGGAAGTGGGTTTCCTTTCCTTTCCTTTAAATTAAGTAAACAGGTGAGGTATTCAAATATGGCGTCGTTCACAAGGTAAACAATATTGACAAGTTAAAACCGCAATTTAAAGAAATACTTTTTTTAAAATTTCATATTGTGTGATGCTTGGTTTAAAAGCAAAACATTAAAATACTGTCATAAGCGTAGAATACTACGTTAAATGAATTCTATTTTAGCTTGGTTTTGCTCCTGATCCTACTTTGCACTGTTGGCTTCAGTCCAATGCTAACAGCTAACAGTAAGTATTGTCGCACCGTTTATATTTTATAAATTATAATGTTTGTTGTTATTTACTATTGAATAAGATAAATAAAACAATAAAAAAGTATTTTTTAAAGTTTTTTTAAACAATTTAAAGTAATTTCAACGTGTTTTAAAGTGTCCACACTATTTACATAGAGGAGGGCAAAGTGAAAAGGTCGCAGTGAATAAAATATTGGTCATAGGACGATTATAGAATGTGACAAAGTGTGACAACCCATGCTTTAAAAAGCAGCAATGGCTTTATGAAATGTTACCGTATTTAAAAAAAAAAAAAAACATACATAATGAAACTATTATATTGACCATTCTAAAGATGAACTTTAGAACTCCTGATGGTCTTAAGTTTGTAAAACACTGAATAATATTCTGTTCTGTGTTTGGTGTTTGATGTTTGATTTAATGTCAAAATTAATTCTGACCTAACACAAATAACTGTAATTTCAGGAATGTTTAAAAAAAAATGTCTTGACCGTCACTTTTGGCTTTCTGTCAAATCTAACTATTCCAACTCAGAGGTCCGCTTTGATTTTGAAGGTAATGTTGCCAATTGTCACTCTTCATATAGTTGTGTGATATGTTATTGTGTTATATAGATATGTTATATCAACAGTTATTGACTGAACATTTAAGTTGCTAAGTGTTCATAATAAATTGTAAATTTCTGTTTTTGACAGACCAGCATGGATACCACATTCTCTCTGATGATCAGGCTGCACGCTGTGGTTACTCAGTTCTGATCACTGACAGAGGAGACCTGGTGTTTCGTGCCTCCTTCCAGGCCTGTCACGTCTATATTCAGGTGCAGTCTGCTAAAATTTTGTTTATTACAAAATTTTACCCTTGAGCTAAGATTCTCACCCTGCCTTGGACAGATGGCCACTGACTATCACCTTCATGTCTGGTTGGTGGAACTCCACTCTGATGGGAAAGTACAGCTGTTTCCGTTCCAGCTCCACTGCACTCTAAGGGAGCAATGGAGCAGCAGAGAAATTGTCTGTGAAGAAAACTACATGGAGGTGAATTATACATCACACTGTCAATTTAAAAAAAAACAGTAAATCTTAGTTTATTTAAGACTTTGAATCAAAGGATAAGTTAACAAAAACAAGCACAAATAACTTAAATACAGTTGAGCATGACGCAAGAAGAAGATATTCGTAAATGTGTTTGGACTTTTTTCATACATATTTCAAGGCCTAGCAAAGATATGATAAATGTGTGTGAGTAGGGATTTATTCTGTATGCATTTGTTTGTCATAGGTTTCTATTAAGCTGCCTGTCCAAACAGAGGCATTTGAAAAGAATGACGAGGTTAGTGCTAAAAAGCTAAAAATTCTCCACGACTTTCCGTGTGTGGAATTGTAGTATGTAACCCTGCAGATGTTTTATGTCATAAAACTGACAGGTAATGTGTCCTCCACCACTGTATAATTACAAGAATTTTTTAAATAGGAATTAAGTTGATAGTATGCCTTCCATTAGACAGAATTGGCTATGACGTTTCACAGAGTTGACCAACATCAAGAGAACCCCACAGTGATGTCACTGACAGAGGCAGCTGCCCATGGCTACCACATCTCAGTTCGTGGCTCCTTTCTCATCTTCCGCTGCCTCTATTCCTCTAATTTTTCATATATCATCAAGGTACTTGTATACAGTAGTATTTTATTGTATTAGACGTGTATCACCCAGTTACACAAAACATTTGGCCTTTTGTGTCTTTGCCAGGACACGGTGATGCCCCGGACAGAGGCAGCTCCCCATGGCTACCACATCTCAGTTCGTGGCTCCTTTCTCATCTTCCGCTGCCTCTATTCCTCTAATTTTTCATATATCATCAAGGTACTTGTATACAGTAGTATTTTATTGTATTAGACGTGTATCACCCAGTTACACAAAACATTTGGCCTTTTGTGTCTTTGCCAGGACAGTGGAGTGGATTTGGAACTTGTCAGTGCAACTGTGTTTTACCCGTTCCTCAGCAGCTTCTTAGCTATTGACGCCACTGTTGCTTGCACCCTGAGTTAGTACATTTTTTATTCCAATTGTCTGTTTAGTCAGTTGTATTCAGAACAGATCAAACATCTTCTTGACGTTCCCTTTCACATCCACAGATGATGCGACAGTTGATCAGTCTGACCTGCTGTGGACCCTCCCTCTGGTACCCTCTCCTCTTGTTCATGGGCTTTTTAAGTACAAAGGTGTGACATTTGGAGTTGACGGCAGAGCCTTTAGTGAATCTGACATTGAACAAGGCGGATACAAAATTAGCTTGCAGAGGCGGCGAGTGGAGGTCAGGATTCCCACAGGAGCCTCCGGTGTACACGTAAAGGTATTAGCATTTATATCATCTGGGGTTTAATTTAATAAATATGCATAATGCATTACTGTGATGCTTGTTGAACATTTTACACCATGTACCATGAGATAGAAACCAAGTACCACCTGTGGTGCACATACCACAGTTTGAAAAAAACTGTACGACTTTATACTGTATATAACAGACAGTATGGAGAATATCTATATCACAAACAAACCAAGTCTCAGTTTTTCTTTAATAAATAGAGCAAACTAATTGCAGGTGTAACACAGCCTAGACAGTGGATCTTGAGATTCAGAGAGTCAGTGGTGGAGGTACTGGTAAGGTGGGCATTTCGTAATTGAAAAAAACTGTACGACTTTATACTGGGACAGTATGGAGAATATCTATACCCAATATCAGCACAAACAAACCAGGTCTCACTTTCTCTTTAATAAATAGAGCAAATTAATTACAGGTGTAACACAGCCTGGACAGTGGATCTTGAGATAGAGTCAGTGGTGGAGGTACTAGTAAGGTGGGCATTTCGTAAACAAGTGCTGGTAAATCACCATGACAGCAAGGATAGTCTGGCAAAGAGTAAGCTGTTTAAATACTGGCTTGATTGGAGCTGGAAAGCAGGTGGAAGCAGTTGCACTGATGAGGGGGAAGAGTGGTTGAGCAGAAGTGGAAATTTACACTGCAGGGGAGCAGACTGTGATGTTTTCATTTGTAAGGAAGTGTGTAAAAAGAAGAAAATAATTGCACTGTAATCACACTGAATATTCCCTAAACGTTTTAGAGTGTTGTTGTGCAAGGACGGTACAGTCAGTCTATATCTGTGGATCTGTCCATCATGAGTCAGTGGGAAAACAAACACTGGCCTTGGACACAGCTTCGCATCTTCAGGCGTCTTAAGGCTCTTATTCCTGCAACTCATTTCCTAAACAGAAGTGAGTAACTGATGAGAAATGTACCTGCAAAATGACCACATCCTACTAAATATATGCAACTGTTTCTCTCGTTCCTTAGACAGAACAACATCTAATGACTCGTTCTCTGCAACTCTGGGTCCATTCGCTCCCGACGTCTCACTCGAGAAGGTGACGTTGACAAGTGGAGGTGACCTTTTAACCTGGACATCAAGCCACCATCCACAGCATGACAAAGACTTTGTAATTTCTAAACTCTCCAACAATACTGGCAGCTACACTTTCCAGCTCTGTTTCCCTTTGTCACACCCTAAAATAATCCCTGAGGTAATAGTTTAGATTCAACAGTTTTGTCTGTTTTATTTCCTCATTCACAAAAACAATAATATTTGAAATTATATGCTGTATAATTTCAGTTTATAGGTGGCGGTGTTAAGACGTACAGCTTCACATTCATCTTTACTTTCAACATCTCTCCCAGTGGAGAAGTCTTTTATCACCAAGAAGAAGTAGAGCACAGTGTTGAATATACAGGTGATTGGTTGATCTGATGTCATCTGTTTTCTTAGGCCTTTCATGGAGATAAAATAGCATAATAAAACTCTAATCTTATTTCTCTCTTGAATACATGCTAGCTCCCAGTTCCCCAAAGCTGGAGGGGAAGTGCACAGATAGCAGCCTACTGGTGCTGTTACATCACGGAGCACACACACAGCTGCAGTGGGAGCTGTTTCTGGGAAACCAAAGATTAGATTGGGAGCTGGCGGAGATGGGTGGGTTTGTGGTGGAGACAGGAGAGCTCTACGTAACAGTGGAGATTCCAATGTACAGCCCTGTGTTGAGCTTTGAGGTGAATATAATACTTCAACACCCAGCTTTGTTGTAAGGGCATAAACAAAATGGTGTTTGCATTTTTTTGTAGGAGCTCACACTGCGGGGTGTCATTGCTGGAATAAAACTGTTTCTTGTGGATGCAGTGTCTTTGAAAATACTGGCCAGTCTTGACTTTAACTGCAACTTTCCTGTCAGGGAACTCTTAGGTACATCTGTGAATATTTTTTTTTAAAATTTTCCATGTTGTGGCTTTTACATCATCCTCTCTGAACCTCTGATAGTGTGTTTGCCACAAGGGAGAATGGTGGCGGTGGTCGACACCACCCACACCATCCCACCAGTTCAGCCCAACAGAACCTTAGACCCCAGCTGTGTCCCACTGCAGACAGACAGCAGCAGAGCTCTGTTCAGCTTCAGTCTGGACTCCTGTGGGACAACTGTCACTGTGAGTTTGACTCAGATCATTCATCTTTTCAAATAAACATTTTGACCTCTGCTGTGCTTCAATCTCATCATCACATGCTCCTCAGACTGAGGGACAGTTTCTGGTTTATGAAAACCAAATCAGCTACAAACAAGATTTTCTCCCTGTGTATGATCCTGTTATCCACAGAGATTCACCATACAGGTGAGAAAACTACACAGTATGTGTTTTACACAAGATAAATTCCTCTCCAGCATCATTCCTCTCTTTTTCAGACTAACCATCCAGTGTCGCTATCCTGCAAATGACAGCAGTGCCCTGACAGTCCAGTATCCTGTCAACTCAGCCATGAACCTTTCAGAAATCATACCAGTCAAACAGACGAAGAGCAGCATTTGATTGTCCAAAAGTGTTTAGGATGTCAAATGATAGTCACTTCATTTATTTATTAAAATGACAAACATATTTAGTTTGTTTACTGTAAATGTACTAATGGCCATGTGAGGTAAATAAAGTCTGGGTTATTTAAAATAGCAATTAAAAATGTCTGATAATTGGTATTATTAAATGGTATTTATATAACATACCATCTTTACGTAGTAGATTGAGGGATGACAGTTAGCTAATGAGCTGCACCTGTTGCAGTGTCTCCTGAAATCTGATTGGTTGGTTCAGACAACTTAAAAAGCTGGCAGAGACCACTGCTGTCTCAGCACATGGTTCTATTGTAATCTGCATCGCCTTTTTAAGTGGTTCCCTTGGTTTGTGTTGGTTGGCAACTGTAGTTTGCTAGCATCTGTGCTAGCTTTAGACACTGCTGACACATCAGGAAATATGGCTTTTGAGATTTGCTTCAGGTAAGTGAGTTTATTTTATATGGTAAGTTCTGTTTTTCAAGTCTAGCTATTGACACTGTTTGTTTTTTTCTAACAGTGTGGCCATGCTTTTTTCGCTGTGGTTAGCAGCAGAATGTGATGACCTCCCTTTTGGTGAGATGTACTTATTTTTGCATTGGTTTGCTACAGTAATAGTAGTAGTGGTTGTCCCATCCTGACGGTTTGTTTATATTCAGAGGTACATCAGGTGGAATGTCGAGATCATTACGTTTGGGCCGTTGTTGAGCTTGCCTTTGCAGGAGAGGATGTGCATTTTGAAGCTGTTGGTAAGTTCAGGAGTGGAGTTGCCTATTGTCTTCAAAATTCAAAGCTGTCTATTTTTGGGCTTAAGTTAAATGTTTTTGGTTTTTTTTTTTCAGATGAAACTGGCATCCACCCGATCACAGAGGAGTATGCAGCTATGTGTGGCTACACTGCCAGTGTTCTCCCTCTCTCTGGCCTTGTTGAGCTGCGAAGCTCTTACTTCAGTTGTCACACTGAGAACAAAGTAAAAGCAGATGTTGGAAAGAATCTTCTGGCTCTGCAGGTTTTATTTATATTTATTTCTTTGTCCTTCCAGGATGGAGTGTTCAAATTGAACTTCAACTTACTTGTGACACATGATGGACATTTGGTCAGATATAACTTTAACAAGACCTGCACTCCTGCTGCTGCTTGGTCTCCCAGAGAGATTACTTGTGAAGTCAACTACATGGAAGTAAGTACAACTTCAACATCATATTATGTTCAGTTGTGTTAAATGTTCTAATTAACTGATCTTTGTCCAGGTGTCGCTGAGAAATGAAGTCACCTGCTCTTCTGTGAAGATGGCCGACGACTGGAATGATGCCCTGAGGGCTGTATGTTTGAACATGAATTGATCTTAAGTTGGTTTTTGCTGCCCTGTGAATCTGGAATGACTATTTTATCAATCCTTTACAGCCATATACTTCAGCTGTATCTGACTGGCAGGTGGTATTTCAGAGAGCAGGGGAACAGTCGATGCCTATGAACGTCTCCGAAGCTCGTAAGCAGGGTTATTGGTTTGATCTGATGGATGAAAGGCTTGTGTTTCGTACACCGTATGGACAGCCTGACTCATTTAGCACTGAGGTGAACACTAATACTTCTCTTAACTATTGGATGTGGAAAACATTGAATCCAACATAGGAAGTTGACTTGATGTTCAATCTCCAGATGAGTGGTGTTCCAGTAGAGGTGGTCCATGCCACTCTGTTCTCCAGACAAAGCTGGGTGGTCATCATGGTTGACCTCGTGGCTGCTTGCTCCATGGGTCAGTACTCATTGGTCTTTTGCTGCAAATGTATTTGTGTTTTTAAACTACTTGTTGTTCTTAACAGATGAAGGATCATATGACAATGGCTACATAATGTGGGACATTCCTGACATGCTGCACCCCCTGGTGTCGGGTATCTACGACACCCAGGTCAATGTCGGTGTCAATGGTAAACTTGAAGAACAGCCAGTTGCAGAACAGCGTGGTTACATGGTGGAGAAGCACAATGCTACAGTTATGATTAGCATCCCCTATAATGCTGAGGGAGGATACAGGAAGGTGGGTGAGAGGGACTTTTATATAGTATTCATGGTCTCTGTGGTGATAAAGGCATAACTGTAAATTAATCTTTCTTATAGAGTCTTCACCTGATGGGTGACCTGTATGAATATTATGTCTTTCATCTGTATGTTGAGCAAATCTCAATGGATGAGGACGATGTCAACACCAGGCTACGCTTCCAGAAGACACTTGCCACTCCTTTGCTGCCACGTCCTGTTTTTACAGAGAACCGTAAGTTCACTGCAGACTTTTTAGTTTCACACTGAAGACATTTTCTCAACGCCTATATTTGCAGGAACAGTGCTTGAAGACCGTGTGTTCACCGTCTATCTTGGAGATGTTCCTGAAGATGTAAAACTGACTGCTGTTCAGCTGAATGGACACATGTATATAGTTCCCTTTATAAATTCAAGTGGTCACACAATCACTGAGGTTGTTCATGACAACCACACACACGACTACACTGTGCAGGTGCCGTTTGATCATCATGTGGTCACAGAGCAGGTGAAAGACTTTAATTGAACCTTCACTGTGATTGGTTGTGTGTGAGGTCAGTAATCACATCTTTATCTCCTAGTTCTCCAGAGAAGATGAAGCCATTAAACACATGCTGGACATTAACTTCACACTGACGGTCCTTCCTGAAAATGAACATTTTTACCACCACACATCAGTCTATGCACTAACTGATGCCTGTAAGTTGATCAGTACGTCTCACTCACTCACTAGACACTTGAGCAGAGATTAACTGTACTGTATCCACCAGCTCCTCCTGAGTTTGAGGCCAATTGTTCAGAGACTGGAATCATCTTCAAGATGGACCATCGACCTTTTGACTACCTGTGGTTCATCAGTATTGGCTCAGAGCGTCTGACACCAGAACTGGCCGCTGAGCACAAGTACAACATGAGGAACGACAGCCAGAGTCTGGTGCTGGAGGTTCCACTATTCACTGATGGATATCAATATAAGGTAGGATGGAGGAAATTTGACTGTATACATTAATATTTGTACCAAACTCATTGAGGTTTGTTTTTTTAGGATTTTTCTTTAAAAGGATTCCTTGGCACGTTTGAAGTCCTCGTGAGAGATCATGGAACATCAGATGTCCAGACACAGGTCACAAAGTCGTGTCCATTTTCGCCGAAAGAGTTTATTGGTAAGAAAAACCAAACCATAACAAAGTTGTGCAAGAATTTGTACTTGGAGTGTCTATATAAACACTGAACTCTCTGCAGCCTGCTCCACTGATGGTATGATGACTGTGATGGTTGATTTATCTTGGGTCGTTGCACTTGGAGGGATCCCTGCAAGAACCAACCTAGCGGACAAATACTGTGGACCCAAAGAAGCAGATGACACCAGGGCACTCTTCTCTTTCCCACTCAACAGCTGTGGCTCCATAATCAAGGTTGTGCTGATTTTAAAAGTGAATAGCACAAAATTATCACAACCGCAATTAAAGCTGCTTTAATTTTTTTTTTTTTTTTAAACAGCTTGGTAAGGAGTATGTCACCTACGAGAATGTGGTTTTCAGCACGAAGACTCAAGCTTTAAAATATCCATCAGATTCCAGCAACATTCAGGGGTAAAATTTGAATTCAACATCTTTTACTCCTAACTGAAAAGCTAGTACTAAAATGGTTTCATTCTCCAGAGTAAAACTACAGTGTACGTATGCTCTGGCTGGGCTCCATCGTCTCTTTTCTGTGTACAAGTTTGATTCTGACACGGAGGGAGTCGGCCAGATTGTGCATCCTGCACAATCACCAGAAGGTAGGGGGTTCAGTTTAGGTTGACTTGAAAAGAGGAAAAAAAAAAATACAAACCTGTTGCTTCACTAACTGTCTGGTGTTGTGCTGCAGTTCAACAGGAACCCATTGGCTTTAATGAGGTGCTGCAGACTCCAGGACCTGCTGTCAGACACACAAGACCTTTTGTCAAACAACCTCCTTCCCAGCACATCAGAGTATCCAGCCTTGTAAAGAATCTTCCAAAAGGTAAGTTTCATATTTTGGGAAATTGTCCATACTGTATGTGAAGTGGAATGTTCTAATCTCAGTGTGATTTCAGGAACCAGAGGAGCAACGCAACTGCAAGTCAGATATAATGGATTGTAATTTTTAAAAAACATTGAAATAAAGTCTTTTCTAATGCCATTGCTGAATTAACTTTTAACAATGTGGGACTTCTTATATACAGCAACTAGTACGATGGGCTTTCACTGTCAATATTTGCATATAGTCACATCACTTGTATATTGAATCACAACAGATTTCTGAACACTAAGTCTATTAGAGTTTCAACACAATCCCTGCTAGCTTTTGCTTGGCCTGACTGTCAGTTTAATCTCAACACTGATGCTGCTCTACATTGCTTAATATCCTACAACAGCAGTAAGTCTGTGGCAGTGGCTGCATACCAATTCTAGTCTTTTCTAATATTCAGTTTACATGCTACAAAGGTTCTGATCTGACTTCATGTTGGTCTAAGATGATATGCTATGGTGACCAGATGGTCACCATATGGTGATCAGAAATCACAACTGGACCTCAGAGATGTCCACAGGCTGTTCAAGACTTGGTGTCGTTTATTAATGATGCCAACACTAATGGGTCCATACCACACATTGCCTGGGTTATACCCTGCATGTGAGGGGGTATGATGTTGAAACTCCTGATGACCCCAGGAACATGACTGATGACCCATCCTAGAGGTGTGTGTGTGTGTGTGTGTAAATTCTGTTGTAGGAATGAAATTCAGAATGTGTGCAAGTACAAAACCTAAATATCAAACATGCAGTCACTGATGTATACACACTGGTAAGTAATGCAGGATGATAAATCACACCTGTTTAACTATGTCTGTGCAGGGTTACGGTCATTTACATACAGAAATGCCTTGTATTGACCCTATACTGTAGCAACAGTCCCTTTAAAAAAAAAAGGAACGCACTTTGTTCCGTAGTAGAATCAAAAATGATAATAATGATAATAAAAAAAAAAGGAACGCACTTTGTTCTGTAGTAGAATCAAAAATGAAACTTAATTGTCAGGCATTTTATATGGAACCTTGACTGTATTGTATTAAGCTGAGATGGGACTTGGTAACCCTACCTCTAGGAGACGTTGGAAAAAACAAAATAGTGTTTGGAACAATAAGTGTAGGTGTAACCAACAAACTGCATTCATCCATTGTGTGATAGTGCATCTATTGTGGTGTGGGTGCAATCTATGGCTCAGATTGTGTTTGGTAATCCGATGTTGGTGTGAGATTCTTGTTTAATTTCTGCTTGTTTCATGTCTGCATGAACTGGGTGTCAGTTAGGGCCAGAGGAATTATTACATCCAACATTGCCAGCATAATTTGCTTAGTGTTAGCTGTGAAATGCTGCATGTCTTCAATACCTCACTGTTGTGGTTGCCAAAAAATCTCAGGATGGACAGGAGCTGGATGTGCACTTGGATGGCTGTCTAACACCTAACCCCAAGTTTGTGTTTGAGTTATGGGTGAAGTTTTAGTCATAGCTTTATGCTCTTACTATGTAGTGGCCTGGACATGCTAGAGAGATTGGATTCTAAAACTTTCTGTCCACAGGCATTTCATATGGTGAACTCAGTTATCGGTGCCAATAAGGAAGTTAATGCCATGAAGTTGCAAAGTGAGACTTTGAACTTTGACAGTTGTTTTGGAATCACTACTCAAAGCTCTTAATTTGACATGTGGTTGACATGTGCTGGCACAGCTGATGTAGCTATATCAATGGATGGAAAGGTGATACAGACAGTAGTTAAAGGTTTTGTGGTATTGTGGAAAAATTCATCTTCAAGTCCATAGGTTCAGATAATTTCAGATTCAATTGTAATGGAATTCACCATTGGGCAGTTTGTTGCACAGAGGGATGTAAACATCAATACTTTATTTGACAGAGACAGGAGGTATGTAAGTGCATATAGAGTTGCAGTATTTGGACAGTGATTTACTTTTAATTTGCTTCAGAAATAATACAATCAGGCAGTATTGACCAAACTGTTTATAGTGGCATTTAATAATACTGGTATGTGCAGCACTGATGCTTATGCTTAAACTTTGCCTTGTTTAATATCAAGTAATGCCACAGCTTAGCACATGTGATTTATGCAGCAGGACTTCATCTTGCAGAAATGCCCCTATAACAGATTCAGGTGATTTCCAAAACAAATGTAGTGGCATTAGTTGGTTTGGCAGCAAGTGTAAGGGGACATCACTGCAGAAACGTGCAGTTCAAAGATTTAAAATAATGTAATCATGGCCTAACAGTAACCAAAACTGACCAAAGTGTGCAATTTAGTTGAGCAGTTAAATGATATACATTAGTGTAACTGAAGTTAAAAAGAACAAAAAGGATGGGTTTTTGCAAATCAGTTTAATCAAAACATTACAGACATTTTACATTTTTCCAAATCTGTGAGGATTCTCTAGTTTAATCAAAACATTACAGACATTTTTCCAAATCTGTGAGGATTCTTATTGACTTGTGAAGCTCCCACAGTTCCTGTGGGGGTGAAAGAAAAAGTTCAGAACTTGCATCTTGCAGTTGACATTTGGTTTGGATAAAAAAAACAAAAAAAATTCAAGCACCAACCTTTCTTTGAGAGATTTTTTAGGAGGCTTGGCACCATCAGATAGCCGATAGGTGGGCGGTGAGCAGGTTTCAGTACAGGTTTTGTATGTCTGCTGGTAGCAGGCACAGGAGTCTGCAGCACTGCAGTGATCTCCATGGGTTTTTGGACCACTGTGAGAAGACTTCAATTATGTTTTTGTTTGTTTACCGCAGCATGAGCAGGGAGACACTTACCTTCTGTTGAGTGTGCACCATCACGTACAATGCGACCAACGCCCTCTGTGTCAGACTCAAACTTGTACTTGGAGAAGAGACGATGGAGTCCAGCTAATGGGTATGTGCACTGTAGTTTAATCCTGCAGGACAAATGTCTCATTAATAGTGTGAAGTTCATCAACAACACACAGGAAGGTTAGGATTTACCCAGTATAGGTGGAGCCAAATAGATTTCTTGGAGCATGAAGCTCATTGATGAAAATCTCATTTTCATAGGTCACATAGTCCTTTCCAAGCTGTAAAAAAAAAAAAAAATTAAAGTGGGAAACACCAAATGTAGGGCTGTAAAGATTTGCACTACCTTGGCAATGGACCCACAGCTGTTGAGTGAAAAGGAGAAAAGCATCCTGGTGTCATCTGCTTCTTTGGGTCCACAGTATTTGTCCACAAGGTTGGTTCTTGCAGGAATCCCTCCATTAGCCACAGACTGAGACAAGTCAACAATTGCAGCCATCATGCCATCAGTGGAACAGGCTGTAAAGAGACGTCTTATTAAATACAACAGTCACAAAATAAAACCCAGCAGCACAGGCATGTCTTTACCAATAATTTCTGGAGCAGTAAATGGACAAGTCTTCACAGTTGAGCCTTGGACATTTGACATTTCATGGTCTCTGACAAGGATTTCAAAAGTGCCAAGGAATCCTTTTAAGGAAAAATCCTGCAAGATAAAGTCATGTTATGACCTTGTCGCTCCTTAATATCTAAATCAGTTTCCTCCATCCTACCTTATATTGATATCCATCAGTGAATAGTGGAACCTCCAGCACCAGACTCTGGCTGTCGTTCCTCATGTTGTACTTGTGCTCAGCGGCCAGTTCTGGTGTCAGACGCTCTGAGCCAATACTGATGAACCACAGGTAGTCAAAAGGTCGATGGTCCATCTTGAAGATGATTCCAGTCTCTGAACAATTGGCCTCAAACTCAGGAGGAGCTGGTGGATACAGTACAGTTAATCTCTGCTCAACACTGCAGTTATGATCAATGAGCTTCATGACTTACAAGGTTTTTTAAGTGTGTAGACTGATGTGTGCTGGTAAAAATGTTCATTTTCTGGCAGAACTGTCAGTGTGAAGTTGATGTCAATCATGACCTTCATGGCTTCATCTTCTCTAGAGAACTAGGAGACCATAGATGTGATTACCAACCCAGTGGTGGACAACCAATCACAGTGAAGGTTCAATTAAGGTCTTTCACCTGCTCTGTGACCACATGATGATCAAACGGCACCTGCACAGTGTAGTCGTGTGTGTGGTTGTCATGAACAACCTCAGTGATTGTGTGACCACTTGAATTTATGAAGGGAACTGTATATATGCATCCATTCAGCTGAACAGCAGTCAGTTTTACATCTTCAGGAACATCTCCAAGATAGACGGTGAACACACGGTCTTCAAGCACTGTTCCTGAAATTTGAAGCCATTTAAGTCATGTCAATATAAAACTGGAAAAGAGACTCTGCAGTAAACTTACTGTTTTCTGTAAACACAGGGCGTGGCAGCAGAGGAGTGACCAGCATGTTGTCAAATCTTAGTCGTGTATACATGTGATCCTCGTCCTCTGAGATTTGCTCCACATAGAGGGGGAAGATATAATATTCATACAAGTCACCCATGACAGAACTCTGCAAGACAAGTGTTGGAAGACACCTTTATTACCATCATCATTTCAAGACAAAAGTTGTGCTTCTTTCTATTCCCACCTTCCTTTGTCCTCCATCAGCTTTATAAGGGATGCTAATCATGACTGTAGCATTGTGCTTCTCCACCACGTAACCTCGCTCCTCCGCAACTAACTGCTCCACAAGTTCACCATTGACACCGACACTGACCTGGGTGTTGTAGTTACCAGACACCAGGGGGTGCAGCACCTCAGGAGTCTCCCACGTTATATAGCCGTTGTTAAAGGATCCTTCATCTGTTACCAGTAAGAGTGAGAGTTAAAAACAGACAAATAGTAGTTAGTTGTCAATTACTTTATACTGACCCATGGAGCAAGCAGCCACGAGGTCAACCATGATGACCACCCAGCTTTGTCTGGAGAACAGAGTGGTATGGACCACCTCTACTGGAACACCACTCATCTGGAGAGAGTTTCCAGTGAAAGCTTGACTTCATATTTTTACAAAAGTCCTACATTTGCAGTGCCATCAGGCAGACTTTTCACCTGGGTGCTATACGAGTCTGGTTGCCCGTATGGTGTACGAAATACAAGCCTCCTTTCAGTCAAGTCAAACATGTAGCCCTGCGTATGGGCTTCAGAAAGCCTTGTGGGCTGCAGGTGCTCCTTACCCCTGTGGAACATCACCTGCCAGTCGGAGGTGGCAGAGGTGTAAGCCTGGATGGAAATGTTAAGATTATTTAAACCAAATCATTCTTTAAAAAGAAAAAAAAATGGAATGTTTAAATATATTCCAAGAATAACACACAGTTTGAATAACAGCATTCCAGTCATCTTTTCTTGTCCCAGTTGGACACACCAAGTCACTGCTGACTGACACCTAGAAAGGATTTTAAGGTTAGAGAAACAGCAGACACTCGAGTTGTACGAGTATGTAACCAACAGTGTGTACCTCCATGTAGTTCATCATACAGGTCACCTCTCTGGCCGACCAGGGAACACTCGGAGAACATGTCTTGTTCAAAGAATAGGTTACTTCCTTTCCATCAGGGTTTACTTTAAGGTTGAAGTAGAATGTGAACACTTCATCAACCTAAAATACAGAAGGAAAAATAAAGTCACATTCCATATAATTCAATTTGTGAAATTTGCCATTGTTGGACCCACTTGGTTTTCAGTGTGACAGCTGAAGTAGGAAGCTTTGAGGAACACAAAGCCACTTAAAGGGCATACATTTATTGTGTAGCCACACACTGCAGCATACTGTGTTGTAATAGGATACACACTTGCTCCATCTGGGTAGAACAGAGCACGAAACATTGGTTTGACTTTTTACAAAAACAAAACAAAAGCTCCCTCAAAGTAAATCCTGCTGGCCTCACCAACAGCTTCAAAGAGAGGGTCATTCCCAGCAACAGCAGGATCAACAGATATCCTGAGGAAACGCTCATGACAGTCCATGTGAATGGGATGACAATTTGTACACAGCCACACAGACAACAGCAAACCTAAACTGCAAAAAGAAAAGGACATTAGTCACATGCTTAAAAAAAAAGGAAACTTAACTTATACAAGTTAATTACCCAAACTTAAAAGCCATAGTCACTGATGTGTTAGCAGTGTCTACAGCTAGCATAGATACTACTATGCTAGCACACTACACCTGCTGACAAACACAGGCCAAAGTAAATTACTTTCCTTAACAAATCTTGGTCACTCTGACACCATGTGGTGGTTTCTTCTTCGCCATCTTTTATAGGCTACTTCATGATCCCACCAATCAGAAGCTCTCGGCAGACACAGCCACATGTGGACCTTGTTAGTTAGCAGGCAATCAAAACAATCATCGTCAGCTGATGGAAAGTTAAAAGTTGCCTCCTTCCAAACACAGGATGAGGAAGTGATCTTTTAAATGCGGTAGAGAAAAGGAGTGATGGAGAAGGTACCACATGGTGACCACAGGAGTTCAAGCAAGTGGTTCAGTTTAACCTGTGGCCTGTGTAGTTTTGCTAGCAGTGAGGCTAGCGTAAGACACAGCTAACATTACAGTGAATATGTCCTTTTGGGGTTTTTTCTGGTAAGTTGGTTTGAGATTTAGTTTTATCATTTAAATTAAAGTTTCTGCTTGTTAAATAATAATTTTGTTTGTTGCAGTTTGGTCGTGCTTCTGTCTGTGTGGCTGCCTGCATGTCCTGCCGACATCCCTCAAGGTAGTTTGATGGTTCTTTACAAGTTTGTAAGAATTGTTGAGATCATGACTTTATTTCATTTTCAAATTTTTTGTTGTTGTTGTTGTTGATGCAGAAGTACATCGGATGGAGTGTCATGATGGCTATCTTATGATAGCTGTTGACCTTAACTTCACTGGGAAGCAGCCCCGCTTTGAAGCTGTTGGTGAGTCACACCGTTCTGTTCGTGACTTCAGAGCTGGCTTATGGAGCTCATTCATAATTATGTTTTTTCTTTCCAATAAAGCTTGAATTTATTCTTCAGACTTTTTTTGTAGTAAAACAAATTCAAAAAGTTGTTCTTGGGTCACTAGTAAGCTTTAGTTGGTATGATTGTTTCACCCAATTCAAACTGTCTTATCCAACACATGACACAATTGAAGGAATTGATCAGGAACTACCAAAAAAATGAAGATGAACTATTTTGTAAATCTTTGTAGGATCAGTTTGTTCATCAGGACTTTGGCATGTCTTTGTATTGAGCCATAATTAGGAAGACTTTCCATGTATTCCAGATGGAACAGGTGTGTACCCAATCACTTTGCAGTATGCAGCACAGTGTGGCTACACCATCAGCGTCATCCCTCTGCCTGCGCTTGTTGAGCTACGAGCGTCTTACTTTAGTTGTCACACTGACAACAAAGTATGTACAATACTAAATACTGTACTTGTCTATTAGAATGTTTCTGAACCCATTAATTTATTATATAACACATTATTTACTGTCCTGCTCCAGGATGATAAAGTTTTTACGTTTAACATTAACCTGATTACCACCCAATCTGGAGAGGAAGTCCACTATACCCTGAACAAGATGTGTTCTCTCCCTCTCACCTGGTCTCCCAGAGAAATAAGCTGTGAGGTCAACTATATGGAGGTGAGTTAGATTTGTTTATTTCTGCTTCTAGCTCATAGGTTCATTTGTTGATGAATTTGTTTTCCTTAGGTGTCTGTGATGATTGATGCGCCCTGTCCCTCTGCACCAGAGAGAGACGACAGTGCAGTAAAACCTGTAGGTACATCCATGTGTCATTAATATTTGTTCCGATGAACTTCTAGTAGCTGCTTTTAATTTATCTCTAGGTCAAAGCCTCATCAACCTCAGACTGGCAGGTGGTGTTTCACAAAGCAGGGGAGCAGCTGAGGCCCATGAACCTCTCTGATGCTCGTAAACATGGCTACGTGTTCAACCTGACGGACAGACGGCTGGTGTTTCGGGCACTGTATGGACAGTGTTACTCCATCAGTGAGGAGGTAAACCTTTGCACTTTGTCTTTACAAACAAATTCAAAGTGGGTTTTAACCTTAGTCTTTGTAGGTCAGTGGTGTTCCAGTAGAGGTAGTCCATGCAACACTGTTCTCCACCCAAAGTTGGCTTGTCCTCATGGTTGACCTTGTAGCTGCTTGCTCCATGGGTTGGTATAACAACGTTCTCCAACCTCTTCATTCACTGTACATGTAACATGAGTCATGCTTATCTCCTCCACAGATGAGGGATCCTTTGTCAGTGGCTCCATAGTGTGGAAAACTCCACAGGCTTTACACGCACTTGTCTCTGGTGTGAATGGCTCACAGATCAGCTTTGGACTCAACGGTGAACTCCTGGAGAGACGGACCGCAGAGGAGCGAGGCTACTCTGTGGACAAGCTCAATGCCACATTGGAGATCAGCATTCCTTATAACACTGAAGGAGGATACAGGAAGGTCTGAGCAATGAGGAATATATATTTCAGTAGCCCTAACTTAAAGGAGACCTTTTTGGTTCGTATTTGTGTCCCTGTAATTTCTGCCTACTCCTAGTGTCAGTTTTGACTGCTGAGTAGATGTTTTATAGTCTGATGAAATCTGGAAATGTATAAAAATTCTATCAATAATACTTAGCCCCTGCCGGGATACCTCCACCCATACTACCACTCCTAACAGTAAAACCGTTTACTTCATGAGTATTAAAACATGTTGGTAACATTTACTCTAGACATCAAGTAACATATCAAATTTCATGAAATATATCCCCTTTAACTAACTTAATAGGATATATTTTAGTTCAAAAGTGGAGGGTTAGGGTTAAAGATCATAGATCTTTAACCCTAACCCTCCATAACCCTCCATCATCATAGAACATTTACCATTATTAATTATTTATTTACTTATTATTAACAGAGTTTGGTGTCTGGTGACCTCCACGAACTGTACATCTTCAATCTCTACTCTGAGCAAACAATGCTGGATGAGGATGATACGCAGACCAGGGTCAGATCTCATAGGACGCTCGTCAGTCCTCTGCTGCCGAGACCTGTTTCTGCTGATGACCAAACTTCTCCTGAGGATCAGTTCTTCACCATCTACCTTGGAGATGTTCCTGAAGATGTAAAACTGACTGCTGTTCAGCTGAATGGACACATGTATAGAGTTCCCTTTATAACTTCAAGTGGTCACACAATCACTGAGGTTGTTCATGA